TCATCCACGCTGTCCCTTCCGTCTTCAGCTATGGTGTGGACTGACAGGTGGACACCCTCCTCTGCCCTGATACTGCTCCCAGGGACCCCCGCAGCTGTGCCTCGGGGCAGACTCCAGCGTGGGCCTCCAGGGGCTGGCAGACGGGGCAGGCTGCAGCCTCTGGCAGATAAGAGCCCTGGAGAGCCACAGCAGAGGGGGAGGCTCCACCACGCCCCCGGCACCAGGGCTCTGGCCTGAGGTTGCACACCCTGGGGCTCGGTGGAAATGCAGCCCTGCCTTGCCCACCGTGGGTGGTGATGAGGGGCGTGTGTTGTCATGGAGGTGCCCCAGAACAGGGGGGCTGACTCAGATGAGTGGGAGGGGGTACTGGGGGAGGGGGAGTGGCAGTCTTGCTTTCTTTAAAGATTTATTTATGTATTTGAAAAGCAGAGAGATGGGGCGGGGGGAATCTTCCATCCACTGGTTCACTCCACAAGCGGCCATAACAGTCATGGTTGGGCCAGGCTCAAGCCAGGAGCCAGGAACTCCATTCGGGTCTCCCACCTGGGTACAGGGGCCCAAGCACTTGGGCCGTCCTCTGCTGCTTTCCCAGGCGCATTAGCAGGGAGCTGTATAGGAAGTGGAGCAGCCGGGACTCGAACCAGGGGCAGCTTAACCCCCGACACACACCCGGGCCACCATGCTGGCTGGGCAGTGGGTCGGGGCCGACAAGTCTTTTGCCTTTACCACAGCTCCCTGGAATCCCAGAGTTCCTTAGAACGTGGGTTTTCCTTTGCAGGGGCCGAGCCCAGCAGAGGGGGCCAGGTGGGCACAACTTGGAATCTGCAGAGCAGGGGGCAGTGGTTGGTTTTGGGGCAGGGACAGCGTGCAGCAGACAGCTCATCAGAGGCCAGTGAATACGCGGGCCCGGGCTCGGGAGCCCACCACTCGGCCTGGAACAACCACGGAGTTTGTGCCTCCGGTGGCAGCCCCTGGGAGCTCTCGGGACCAGCTGCCCGCCTTCTGCAGTGTGGACTGGGTGAGGCAGGGGTGGGGGGGGCTGCCTCTCCCTACCTCCCCAGCCCCACTCTGTGCCTGCCCAGTAACCCTAGGGCAGCGAGGCTGAGGGCTTTCCCAGGGGCCCAGGGGGACACTGCACATGGGCTCAGAGAGAAGCCACCAAGAGGAAGCCTAGCCAGGGAGGGCCACAGACTCGCCTCTACGCCCCCAACTCACGCTCCCAACCCAGATCCTGTGTGCGGGCCACAGCGCCTCCCGCTGGCCAAGCCTCAGCTCCATCCTCCTGTTGGGAGGGTCCTGTGCACCTGTGTGAGCCCCACCCGCTCCGGTCCAGCCCAGGCAGGCTCTGACGGCTCCACCACTGTGAGAGCCTGGGCTGCTGGATTGAGAGGCCACTGTGTGTCCTTCCGGGGGTGGACAGAGGCCTGTGGGGAGGAGGGGGCTGCTGGGTGCAAGTGGCAGGTAGAAGGAGATCGCCACCTGCTTTCTGGGGCAGGACGCTTGGCCTGAGGACTCTGACCCCGTGCCCCCAGCTTGCTTCCCTCTCCGTCTTCCCAGGTGAGCCAGCAACAGGGAACCTCTTGTCCACCACCTGTGCTCCTCCTCATGCACGCCTGACCACCTCCTTACCCAGGGGCTTCTGGAAATAGCACCTGGGCACCGGGACCCCAAGCAGCCAAACAGATGCGCCCCCCCACCCACACACACCAGTGGCTGCACGAGTCAGGCCCCGCCTCCTGGGCGGAGCTGTGTCCTTGCTGCTTTGAGAGGAGTGGGAGGTGGCTCAGGGCAGCCACGCGAAGGCTGGCAGATGGCGGGTGGCATGCAGACCCCTCTGGGGCAGCCGGTATGTCTGCTGGAGCAGGGTGGGGGTGGCACAGAGTGCCCCCCGTCTCTATCCCGTCCTGTGCTCTCCCACTGCCCACCTGTATCCACCAGGCAGCCCCTGGGCGCAGCGCATTTTCCCTTGGCCATGACCTTGCAGAGGAGAGCAAAGTCCCTCCGCCTCCCTCCCACTTACAGCTGCCCTGGAGACAGCCCCAGGGACACTGGGCTTGGGCTCGGAGTTGGTCCAAGACACACATGCGCCCCTGCAGTGTCTGAGGTGGGGCCTGGGCTGGGAGGATCCCGTGTCCTGTGGTGTGGGGCCCAGGCCTGCTGCGTCCCCACCCCAAGGCCATCTGGACGGAGTCGGAGGCCTTGGACAGCAGGTGCCACCCTTGGCTCCCCCCGCCTGAGGGCTCTGGGGGCAGGGACGCAGGGGACTCAGACCTTGCCAAGGAACCACAGGGGAGGCCTGGGGGGTGGAGCGAGTTGGGGGGGGGGCAGATCTGGGCTCTGACTCACTCCGCCGCGTGCCCAGCTTGCTATGACGAGCTGGTGCCCTTCTTGTTCTTCAGCTACTAGAATAGCGTCAGGGCCCAGGGGAGGCAGCTGTACCAGGAAAAGCCATTACCTGACAAGCCTCCCCCTGCTAAAAGCCTCCCCTCCCCCTGGGCTCCCTCTGCACTCACGCAGCCCTGAGGAACCTGGGGTGTGTGTGCTGGGGGCGGGGGACACCGGCTTAACTCCTTCCAGCCTGAGGGACGCCGGGCCGGCTCCCGCTCCAGCGGGTCAGGTGGGCTCTTTGGACCCTGCCTGTCGGCCTGGCCCACCCCTTTCCGCCTGGAACTCTCGCTGGGGGTGGGGGGTTGGGAGGAGAGAGGCTGGCTGGCCCGAATCCTGCCTGAGACTCACGCCCTTGCTCTGCGCTCCCCGGGGAGTCTGGGAGCAGTGGGCTGTGACACTGGGGTGTGGGGAGCAACCCGGACTAGACTAAGTTACTGGAATTAAGACTTATTCTATGCATCTGCTCTCCCACAATATGGCGCTGGGAGAGGAGGAAACAGCTTCTACGCAGCTGCCTCCAGTTCAACCAATAAACTGTAGGACTTGCTCCTGATTGGAGGAGAGCAGCGTACTCGGCGTGTGGGTAGCAGAGTTGGGATTGGCGGAAGAGGACTATAAAGGAGGAGAGAGACAACATGCACCAGGAACATCTAAGGGGAACATCTAAGAGGAACACCTGTGCAGCCCCCGAGAGAGCCAGCCGGCGGTGTGCTGCTCCCCTGCGGAAGTGGGGAAAGTGGCAGGGGGAACCGCCCTTCCACGGAGGTGGAAGGGACAGTAGCCAACCCGGGAAGAACCAGCAGCAAACCCGGGGAGGGCCGAGAAGATGAAAGAACAGCGCAGGGTCCTGTGTCGTTCCTCCACGAAGACGGGGAGCGACACTGGGGCACAGCGGCCCGTCTTGCTCCCTGCCTCTCTCCCTGCCTGTACCTCCTGCTGCCCCCGTGCTGGTCCCCCAGGAAGAGCTGGGAGCAGAGCGCCAGCCCTGGGCAGAGGTTCTGAGGGCTCAGGTCAGGGTCGGGGGATGGCTGTGGGGAGGGAGAACCAGGGCCCGGGGAGCTCAGATCCTGCAGGAAGGGAGCTGTGGGGGGCAGGGGTGGCCCCAGCACTCCTGGGGGGGACTCAGACTCTGGTGAGGGGGAGGACCCCCTTCTCAGCCCAGAACCCCCCCAGCTCCTTCCCCCTGCCCTTGGTGATGCCAGGCTGTCTGACAAACCCCGAAGAAGCCTCCTTGCTGGGCGCCGTCCACACCGTCCTCCCAGCACCCCTGAACACCCTCTGCCAGGAGGCCTCGCATCTCAGGGAGGGGCGGGCACCCTGCCAGGCTCCACCCGGGCTGGACACTCGCTGTGGTGGGACTCCCAGGCCTGGGCTCTCCTCCAGGACTCCATACCTTGGCCAGAGCAGCCAGAGACCCCAACGATGGACCCCATTTTGGGGTCACAATGGGGAGAAACCAGGCTAGGAGTAAGGAAAAGGCAGACCTCCCCTGCCACGGGGCAGAAGTGAGGGGTGAGGCTTGTATGTGAGTCATTTAAGGCGACAGTTACTGAGCACGGGTGGCACTTGGCGATGTGATGGGCGCTGTACCTAAGAACTCATTCCCTCCCCTCCGGTACAACCCTGCAGCCTGGGCGCACCTTGCCCAAGGTCACACAGCCAGCCTGGGGGACAGCCAGGATCTGCAGCCCACTGGTCTGACAGCAAGATCCCTGTGGCTCTCACTGTGCCGCCCTGCCTCTCCATGGGAGCAGAACAGGAGTCCTCAGTGGACCCCGGAGCTGGGGGCTAGGGCCCTCCGACCCCCTGCCATAAGGGCAGGGCTGCAGTGAGCCCCAGTGTCACTTCTGTGAGACGAACAGAGGTGGTAGTGAGGGTCGGGCATCCCAGAAGTCTTCCTGGAGGGGAGAGGGACAAGCTGGGCTGGCCAGGGCCACAGGTGGGCTGCGCCGAGGCCTGGGGCAGACTGCCCCCTCCCCGGGCCTGCCCCGCAGGAGTGATGAGAGGCTCCTGGGGGTGCTGTTCCTGTGCCTCCTCCCAGCCCAGGGGTGTGAGCGGGGGTGCAGCTCCCGGGGCCCAAGTCCCTCGGCTGAGTCCTCACGCCACAGTGCAGTGGCTGGAGCAGCGGCACCGCTCACAGCTCCGGTCCCAGGTGCCCTGTGCCGGGCTCTGGGGGCCCAGCCTGGCATCCTGTACCCAGCAGACGCTGCTCTGCACAGCAGCTGTGTGCTCGCTGAGGGGGCGGAGCTGGGGGCTGGGCCAGAAGCCTTGGGGAAAGGGGGGCACTGCCCCGGCCCCTTGCCGGGAGGCCTCCTCCCTCTGGACAGATCCCACAGGAGGTACCAGAGGGGGTCCACCCCCAGGCTCCTGCAGGTGCCCTCCGTGGCCAGGGGCAGGCAGGCGCACGGCCGAGGGGTCCACCCCTGAGCTCTGGTGCCCTGGACTGGGAGAGGCCTCAGCGGACAGTGGGCTGCGACCCCCTGAGCATCCGTGCGTGAGAGGCGGCTCCCCAAGTCCCCTCTCACTGCTGTTCACCGGCAGTGGACGGCGCGGAGCGCCCCGCGGCCGGCAGGACGCTTCCTCCGACTCACCCTGGCTCGCCCCTCTCCCAGGAAAACCACATCCGAGGAAGCCAAGGAGCAGAGCTCCCACGCAGTCACCTCCGTGACCCCGGAGCCCACCCGAGCCCCGATCTGGGGGGACACGGTGACAGTGGAGATCGAAGCGGAGGACGCTGGGCGCGAAGGTGAGCCTGGGGGGCCCGAGTGGGTGTGTGCACGCATGCGCATGTGAGGGCCTTGATCGCAGACCCCGCGGCTAAGGCGGAAGCCATCCGCTCTCACCCCCAGCTGGGTGCTACCTGAACGCCTCCTTGGGCGCAGTACAAAGCACTTAAAGAAAAGACATCATAACACGTCACGCCTCATCTCCCCGCCCGGCCTGCTCGGAAAATGAGTTGTTCCAGATAAATGAATCCTCGGGGTGACGCGCGCTTACCTTTTTTATGACCATGGTTATTATTTCCACGGCTGCTATTGGCGCGCCTCCCGCTGAAAGCGCCGTTCCAGCTCCCCAGCCCGTCCCTCTCACGGCTCCCCGGGGTCACCGCCTCCGAGGGGCACCGCGGCCTCCCAGGGCTGGGAAGAGAGCACCCAGGGCCAGCTCTGCACCCCTCTGCGGTACCCATGCAGTTCGGTTTTGTTGTTGTTGTTGTTGTTGTTGTTGTTGTTGTTGTTTTGACAGGCAGAGTGGACAGTGAGAGAGAGAGACAGAGAGAAAGGTCTTCCTTTGCTGTTGGTTCACCCTCCAATGGCCGCCGCGGCTGGTGCACCGCGCTGATCCGATGGCAGGATCCAGGTGCTTCTCCTGGTCTCCCATGAGGTGCAGGGCCCAAGCACTTGGGCCATCCTCCACTGCACTCCCGGGCCACAGCAGAGAGCTGGCCTGGAAGAGGGGCAACCGGGACAGAATCCAGCGCCCCGACCGGGACTAGAACCCGGTGTGCCGGCGCCACTAGGCGGAGGATTAGCCTAGTGAGCCGCAGCGCCGGCTCAGGTTTTGCTTTTTATTATTTTTTTTTAATATTTATTTATCTGAAAGAGTCACAGAGAGAGACCGAGGTCTTGCATCCCCTGGTTCACTCCCACAGTTGACTGCAACTGCCCAGGGCTGGGCCAGGTTGAAGCCGGGAGCCAGGAGCTTCATCCAGGTCTCCCACGTGGGTGCAGGAGTCCAAGTCCCTGGCCATCTTCTGCTGCTTGCCCAGGGTGCTGGGTCGGAAGGGGAGCAGCTGGGACTGAACCAGCCCCCATATGGAATGCTGTGGCTTTACACGCTGCGCCACGGCTTTGGTGTTCTGGGAATTTTCCGGATCCTTGCCGGTTCCTCCTCGGGAGTCAGACGGAGCCGCAGGTCCCTGGGCACACACACGCCTGTGCACACGTGTGGGCTCCACACCATGGGCCTGTCTGCCATCCACTCTCAGGCGGAACTTAGGCTGGGTACTTGACTGGGTGCTGATGGCTGATGCCAGCGGGAACCAGCGGTGCCCAGCGATGTCTCTGTGCTCAGCTGGTGAGAGAGAACCTGGGGCTCGCTCCCCGCAGGTGGTCTCCAGACCAGGGCAGGCTTCCCCGGTCCCCAAGAAACCCTGCCAGGGACTGCAAGAGTCAGCAGGTGGGGAGAGGACTGTCAGGAGGGAGGAGCCTGCCTAGAAAGGGAAGGGGCAAGTTCTAGGTCAAGTGGAAAAGACTCTTTGCCTTTAAAGGAACAGGTGGAGCAGTCGGGATGGTTTGAGAAGGCGCAGAATGGAGGGCAGCTGACCCAGGCGCTCACGCTGGTGCACGTGTCTGTGGCAACTGCCTGCTGGCTCCTGTGTGTGTGTGTGTGTGAGCATGTGCAGTGTCAGGGCTGTCGGCACCTGTGTGTGTGTGGACAGCAGTGAGAGCGTGAGTATGTGTCGGTGAGTGACCCAGCCTGGGCCCAGCACATCCGGGTGTGAGGAGGTCAGCAATGCATATGCAGCAGGGAGGGGACAGGACAGGCTGTGGGAGGGACAGGAGGGCGAGGAGGCCACAGGGGCAGGCCGGGAGCCCTGGCAGGCGCCTCTCGGCAGATGGGGGCGGCTGCCTGCCTGTTGGAACCTGCTTGGAAGCGGTTGCTGTGGTGACGTCTGCGGGTGGGAGAGATGGGGGCCGGGCCAAGAAGGGGGAAGAGTAGGAGGGAGCTCGAGGATGTGTTAATGAAAATCGAGGGGGAGTTGGAGCCCCCGGGGTCAGGCGGGCAGCAGAGACAGCCTGTCAGCGGCACAGAGGGCACGGCAGGGGGCTGGCCAGGCACAGTGTCCACAGTGGAAGCTGATGAAGCGAGCTTGCCACAGGGAGACAGGCACAGGACGGCGGAGCTGCTGGCTGCCCACACGCAGCTCCAGAGGACGGGCGGGGGCTGCAGGGCCCCCCTCTCCTGCTCGGCCTCAGCCAATGCTGGCTGGATTTGGAGACTCAGGGTCCATGGCAACTGGGTGTGGGGGCTGCGCCGCCACAGCTCCTGCTGCGGCTCCATCTGGCTGAGTTATCTGAGGTCTGTCTGGGTTGGGTGAGCCACAGGTGGACCCCAGGAGGACCCCAGTGACTCCATAGAACATCCAGCACCAAATTCATAGCCTGAAAAACACACACACTCCTCCATCAACCGTCCTGGGAGAGGGCTGAGGTCTTTTTCTTTTTAGGATTTTATTTATTTATTTGAAAGGCAGAGTAACAGAGTTGGAGAGACAGAAAGAGGTCTTCCATCTGCTGGTGCACTCCCCAGATGGCCACAACAGTCAGGGCCATCCCCAGATGGCCGAAGCCAGGAGCCAGGAGCTCCACCTGGGTCTCGCAAGGGGTGCAGGGGCCCAAGCACTTGGGCCGCCTTCCGCTGCTTTCCCAGGCACTGGAGCCATCACTCAGATTCCCTGCACGACAACCCAGTCCCGGGCTCTTTTCCTTTTTTACAACATTAACATTTTAAAGAGCAAGAGCAGGAAGCCCGGAAAGGTTGTGACTCACTGAAGGCCCCGCGGCAGGCTGGTGTCTGGGAGCAGCCGCGTCTGCTGGCTGCGCAACCCTCACCCGACCCGTTTTCCCCAATCAGTCTCCAGACCGGCTGTGCCGTCTCCTTCCTGTGAGTGTGGGTCCAGGTGGCCAGCTCCTGAGAGAGCCTAGCAAGTGCCTTGCCCTCTGTGGGGTCTGTGTGCGTGGGAGGAGACAGAGGGAACGCTGGGTAGCAAGACCCTCAGCTGCCTCTCCTTCTGTTGTATCTGCGCCGGCCCAGCCCCACACCACCCTGCCTGCTCAGCCCAGCCCCACGCCACCCTGCCTGCTCAGCCCAGCCCCACACCACCCTGCCTGCTCGGCCCAGCCCCACGCCACCCTGCCTGCTCAGCTGCCTCACCGGCGCTGTCCCTGGTACTGAAACTTCCTGCTCTCGGAAGACAGAGAGCCTCACCCTCCTCTCCTTCCTTCCAGACTCCCTGGATCTCCCTTTGCCTTCACCCCTCCTCCCTCCGCCTCATTCCTCCTCCACCCTACTCTTCCTTTCCTCCCCCTCCCTCTCCTTCCTCCTCTGATCACAGATTTCCGGAACGGTGTGCCAAGTGCAGCCTCCCCCATCACCCACTTCCTAGCTGCATGGAGTTGAGCAAGCTACACCAGAGCACTTCAGAAGTGCACAGAAACAGGCTTGAAAGATAAGTCTAGGGGCTGGTGCTGTGGCACAGCAGGTTAAACTACCCATGTGGATGCCAGTTCGAGTCCCGGCTGCTCCACTTCCAACCCAGCTCCCTGCTAATGCACCTGGGAAAGCAGCAGAAGATGGCCTGAGTGCATCTCCATGTGGGAGACCCAGAAAAAGCTCCTGGCTCCTGGCTTCAGTCTGGCCAAGCTCTGGCCATTGTGACCATTTGGGGAGTGAACCAGCAGATGAAAGATCTCTCTCTCTGTCTGTCTGTCTCTCTCCTCTCTCTGCATGTAACTCTTTCAAATAAATAAATCCTTAAAATCAGTTTATTTGGGGGCCAAAGCCTTCAAAAAGTTAGTGGAAATGCATGTAATGAAAATAATAGTGCTGGGTTTTTTTGTGCCCCCAAATATATTTTGTTTCCATTTTCCATGAAATGTTGATGTCCCCTATTTCCATGAAATCACAAAGAACTCATTATAGGCCGGCGCCGCGGCTCACTAGGCTAATCCTCCGCCTAGCGGCGCCGGCACACCGGGTTCTAGTCCCGGTCGGGGCGCCGGATTCTGTCCCGGTTGCCCCTCTTCCAGGCCAGCCCTCTGCTGTGGCCAGGGAGTGCAGTGGAGGATGGCCCAGGTGCTTGGGCCCTGCACCCCATGGGAGACCAGGAAAAGCACCTGGCTCCTGGCTCCTGCCATCGGATCAGCGCGGTGCGCTGGCCGCAGCGTGCCGGCCGCGGCGGCCACTGGAGGGTGAACCAACGGCAAAAGGAAGACCTTTCTCTCTGTCTCTCTCTCTCACTGTCCACTCTGCCTGTCAAAAAAAAAAAAACTCATTATATATGTGAATCACTTCTGTTTCCTAATGCACACTGAATTTGGTGTAAACTATTTTTTAGAAATCTCAGAGAGGGGTACCCTTCCAGTCTTCCCATGGATCTGCATGTGCACACGTGTGTGCACATGCGTGTGCAGCCCTGGGGCCTGGGCTCACTGCTGTGTGCATCCACTCTGGGCTGGGCGTTCTCGGGCCATAGGAGGGAATTGCTCTTGGGTCCTACCTGCACCTGGCATGGAGCCTTGCCCCGCCACGGGGGCTCAGACAGGGTGGGGCTGTGGGCATGCGCCTGGCCACACTGAGAGGGAGGGCGGTGCGCTGGGCCCTGCCCTGACCCCGGGATCGCCTGACTCCCTCCAGATGTGGTCCTCAAGGTGGTGGACAAAAAGAAGAAGGAGGAGCTTGTGTCCTGCACAGTCCCCATCAAGTACCTGCGTGTCTTCCACCCCTACCACTTCGAGCTGGTGATGGTGAGTCGCCCAGGGCCATGGAGCAAAGCGGGCGGGGCAGCCCACACCCACCCCACAGCATGACTACTCCACAGCTCCTGGCAGGCAGACAGGGAGATGTCCCAAGCCTGTGGAAGCCCCAGGTTCAGCTCTGTAACAGCCCTGTGTATGTGACACAGTGACCGCATTAAATGCACACATTGATGATGGGGAATGACCTCTGTGCAGAGCACCCTCTGTGTCCTGGGCGCCGGGGCTGACCCTCAAGGTGGAGCTGGTTTTGCACCTGTGGGCCTGGGATGCGGGTTTTGCTGAGGGCGAGCTGCCTCCCAGTCCACTTCTTCTTGTGCCCACGCTGCCGGGGCAGGAGGGGAAGGCTCAAGGGGGCTGGAGCATGTCTAGGGGTCAAACACTCGCAGCATGCGCCCTTCTAGTGGGTATGCACCTGGAGTAGTAGGAGCCTCAGGGCCCCTCAGCAGTCCCTGGCAGGGACGCCCAGCCCAGCCCCCCTGCCCACTGCTGTCCCAGTGCTCAGACTAAAAGCAGCCACTGTGTCCTGGGTCCTGGCCAGAGATGAACAGGAGCCTCCTTTCCCCTCCCCTGGGGTTTGGAAGGGAGAGCAGTGTGGGGCCAGAATGAGGCTTCCTACCCCAGGCCTGTTGCTCAGAGAGGACGCCAGCCCATAGGAAGCTCCTAAACCCGTACCCCACGCCCTCCAGCACAGGCGAGCTGCTCAGACTCACCTCCCGGCTCAGCTGGTGCGGTGACGTCCATGCCTGGTGCACAGGAGGTGGTGGGTCCCGGTTGGCTGTCCTCCTCCTGCCCCCTCCAGGCCTTGGCCCCCGACTCTCCCCAGCCCCGTGGTCTTCTTCTCCCATAGGCCTTGGGATGGGGGTTCCAGGCCAGGCAGGGGAGCAAAGGCCCCGAGACACAAGTGACGCCTCCCGGGGGAGCCAGCACTTAAGCTGCAGCTCTAGGCCCGTTATCACGTCTTTACCATGAGAGCAGGCAGGAGGGGACCCTTGTGAAGGCGTTGAAATATTCACGTGGAAAGGGGGAGGATTTATGTTATCGATCCCCTAGAAGGGCGCACAGGGACCATGAGCTTTCATTATGAGCTCGAGGCCCAGAGGAGCAATGCCGAGTGGTTGTCTGTGAGGGGCTGGATTTACGGCCAGGGCCTGCCCCTCGGCCACTCTCCTCCTCCTGTGTCCTCCCTGTGTCCAGCCCGTTGAGTCCAGGAAAGGCAGTGAAAGGAAAAGCATCGAAGCCGCGGCCAGCGCCCACCTGTACGCCACGGTCATTCGCAAGGGCAGCTGCATCCCCCGCTACATCGGCTGCACCCACACGGCGCTGGAGGTACCAGCACCGGGCTCTCAGGGGCGGCGGGCCTGGGCGGAGGGCCTGGGGAAGGACTCAGCAGGGGAAAAGCAGCTGGGCAGAGATGCCCTGGCCTCTCCCGGCCTCGCCGACTGCGGAAATCGGAGGAAGGAGGCTTGGCCCCAGTTCTGCCCCTCGCGCACCGTCCCTGGGCTGCGGGAGCCTGCCATGGCCCAACGTCCCTGGCTCTTCCCTCTGCCCCGCCCCTCTCTCTGGGGTAGTGACCCCAGTCCTGGCCTCCCCGGCGCTGTGCTGGCGAGTGGGGCAGGAGTGCACTTCTTTCTTTGCCCGTCATTTCCACTAGCCAGGCTCCAGCCTGGGCCTGTCCACCCTCCCAAGCTGTTGATTGGTTGAGACAGGCACGGCCTAGGCCATGTGTGAGAGGCACATCCGGCTGTGGCCTGGGTTCCATCAGGATGGGAGTCCCAGACCCTGACTCTCGCTTCCCTCACCACCCCGTGGCCCATCTGTGCTCCCGGCCCTGGCACTGTGAGCCCAGAAGGGCAAGGGCTTCAGACCCAGCTCACAGCTGAGGACGCTGAGGCCCAAGGGGGTGTGGTGGACACGTCAGCTCGGGTCCGCCCTGCACGAGCCCCCCACCACATGCCCCCCTCTCGTCTGTCTCGTCCTTTGCACCCAACAAGGCAGCAGCTTGGCTCCGCAGGCAGGGGGCTGCACCCCGGGTGGATCCACCCCAGTCCTCTGACTTCCTGTCTGTGACCTGGGCGGGGCTTCCTGCTCCCAGCCTCAGGTAGGGGGCACAGCAGGAGACCTTGCTCCCGATGCCCACAAGGTCGCTGTCTCGGCCACACCTGGCCACGGTCAGCACAGAGCAGGTGCAGTCAGCCCACACGAGTGAGGGCCCCCAAGCCGCTGTGTGCAGTGAACTGGCAACCAGCTGAGAGGGAACAGTGGCCGAGGGGGGAAGGGCTTGGGGGAAAGGCCCAGGGGTCTCTCAGGGCTGAAGCCACACGGGGTCCACCTGCCTCCTCTCTCCTTCCAGATCTTTCTCCGGGGAGTCAACGAGCCCCTGATCAACAACCGGAGCCCCATGGTAGTGATTGCCCGGGTGGTTCCCAACTACACGGAGTTTAAGTGAGTGGGTCCTGGGCTGGACCCAGGCTGTCAGGGGCCTGGAGGCCTCCTCACCGGGAGTGAGGCTACAGGGGGCTTCCTGCAGTGGACCCTGCCTCTGTGTCCCCACGAATGTGCAGGGAAGGGCAGGGGTGGGGGAGAGGAGGGCCCAGCATCAGGCTGCGGAGCTGGGGCAGCCAGGTGTGAGGAGGACCAGAGGGGTCCCCGTTGTCTGTCCAGCACCCCCAGACCTGCCCCTATCCCACAGGTCACCTCCAGTGTCCCCTTTCCTGCTCTAGCTCAGGGCCACAGGCTCTGGCTGGCAGTTGTCCCCAAAGGAAGGCAGCCCCGGGCCGTCTCGGACCCTCACCTTGGCCTCCTCCTGGCCCCAGCCATGCCTCAGGCCTCCCCTCCCCCAGACATCCTTTTGAGTTTGCTGGGCTCATGGTCCTCGGGGGGGGAGCTTAGCCCCCCAGTCCAGAGAGCATAGCACACACACACGCACACATGCAGTGCAACATACGAACACACACATCATGCAATGCCTGTGTGCATAACATGTGTGTTACATGTGCACACAACACACGTTGTGATACATGTGCAGTACACGCACACACACCTGGGCCCTGCCGCGGCAGGTCCCCCACAGCACGGGGGACCATCCCAACGAGCCTTTTTGACTCGAGACCCACTTTTAAATGGAGAGCGGAAGCCTAGGGGCTGGCCAGGCCGCAGCGCACCACAGATCGGGGGCTGAGCGCAGCGGCCTCCCTCCTGACCACCACGAGCTCTCCCGAGGCCTGGGCCAGGGTCAGGAGCACCAGGGCCCAGCAGCCACACCACAGGGGCTGAGCCAGCCCTGCGCTCTCCCCTCTCACATCGGTGCAGTGTCCAGGTGGGACCCCGGGCTGCTGGCTGGGGCACGGAGCCCAGAGCACTGACCCCGACTCCTCGCCCCTGCAGGGTCAGCCAGGCAAACCGGGACCCGGCCTCGGTGGGGCTGCCCATCACCCTGCTGTCTTTCCCTATCCCGTCCGTGATGAACTTCGACGTGCCCCGGGTCAGCCAGAACGGGTGCCCTCAGGTGAGCCCCTGCCCTCGCGCAGCCCCTGCCGGCCACACGTCTGGTAACCCTCCCCACACATCCATTCATTCGTTCATACTCCTGGGTACGCCCCCACATTCACTCATTCACACGCCTGGTGACTCCCACACACCCTCATTTATCCGCTCCCTGGCCTGCTGCACACCCAGGGCCGTGCTTGTCCGTGCTGCCTCCGGGCAGCTGGGCCTGGTGGCCGTGGGCACCTCGTGGGAGTGAACTCCAGCGCCCGTCTCAAGTGACCTAACAGGGAGGGACCGCGGAGATACTGTCCAACTCCACTTTCCCACGTGGACTGGAAATGGAGCAAGGGTTCCCGGGGGCTGGGGAGAGGGAGGAGAGGGAGCTGCCACTTCCTGGGGAGAGTGAGCTCTGGAAACAGCGGACCGCGGGGAAGCCACTGCCGCCGCGGGGAAGCCACTGCCGCCGCCACCACCCCCCCCCGCAGCTGTGCACCGAGAAGGGCTGTAGTGCTCGGTTTTCTGTTAGGCATATTTTATCACAATAAGATTTTTGCAAATCAGTCAGGGGAGAGGAGTGGGGAGGGTGGCCTTGCCTCTCATATGGGCCCAGGCAAGGTGGACAGAGCTGTGTTGGGGTGGACAGGGGGGCCGTGTGTTTGAGTGGAGGGAAGGGTTACACATCGTGGCTGGGCCAGGGGAGCCACTGACCATGGTCTGCCGTGGGAGTCACCCCATTCGATGGCCCCAGCCTTCTAGGGGGCTTCCAGGACAGGTGGGGGCTCCTGGAGGTGCCTCTGGTTGTCTGCCCCCCCAAAGCTCATGACCAGCCCAAGACGCCCCTTAGGAACCCAGCCTTGCTTCAAAAGAAAAGACATTAGAACAGAGCGCGAGCGAGAGGGAAGGTGGGGAAGCCGGTGGGATGAAGGGGGCCCCCCGGGGACGGAAGCTTCAAACCCAAACCAATCTTCGGCCTGATTTCCCCAGAGGCACTCGCACATGGCCCTGCATTTTCCGGGAAATTATGAACCAATCAGCAGGCCCTCCCCAGGGGACAGGCGCCTCCCGCCCCGCCCCCAGCCTGCTGTAGTGAGCAAGCCCCTCCCACCCCAGCCCCTCTGCCCTGCCTGATGAGCCGGGTGGGGGAGGTGCCCCCCACTGCGCCTTGGGGCCGGAGAGGGGCAGAGGTGGCAGGACACCTGTTGTAGGTCACGCAGCGCCACGCAGCTGGGCCAGGCTGAGAACTCACTGGCCAGGAGCACAGAGCAGTCCTGCTGCCAGGGAGCCATGGGGAGCCCTGCCCAACCCCTCTGGGGCAGGGAGGCTGGGTGGGGTCATTTCCAGGGCCTGCTGGGTGCTGTCCAAACCGAGCATTGTGGCCAGGGGAGGGCTGGGTCAACTGGTTTTGACCTAGCTCTGCACCCTGCCAGCCCTGTGCCCCACGGCAAGCTGCTCCCCTCCCTGGCCCTGCACCCCTCTTCCTGGGCTAGCCAAAAGGACAGTTAGGGCCAAACGTCCCTGCCCAGGCCTCCTCCCCTTCCAGCCACACTTCCCAGGGGCCAAATGCCCCTCCGAGGCCAGCCTGGCCACCTGGCCCAAGCAGCAGAAACCTCAGCTTGCACACACTGGCCCACCAAGTGCCCATCGCAAGTGCCCATATAGGGGTCAGGCTGACCCACCCCCTCAGCTCAGCCTGGAGGCCTGGGGCTCTCTCCCACGTCCCAGAGTTGCCACTGTCGGGGTCTGCAGCTCACATGGGCAAACCCTTCTGGGCCTCTCATCCAGGTGAGTTTACCAGGCCCCAAGACCAGCCCCACCCAGCAATCCCTGGGCAGACTCCACCCCCCTCGGCTCATTGGCCAGAGTGGGACCACCTGCCCTCTCCTGAGCCAATCACTGAGGAGGGGCGTGGCCACCTGGGGCGGAGCCGCCCTGTAGGCTGGGAGGCAGGGAGGGGAGGGCCCTGTCTCCTCACCTGTCTCAGGGCCCTGCACTCCCGTGAGTTCAGGGACAGGCAGGCGGTCAGGCCTGAGCCCCCTGCTGGACCTGCCCCAGGCAGGGACGGGTGACTCCCACGCTGCCCTTGACCCTCACAGGAGACTCTTGCCCACCCAGCAGGCTGCCCCTAGTACAGGCAGGGGCGGGGTCCCAGAGCCAAGGGGGGCCCCCAGGAGCTGAAGCACAAGCCCCGTGGGCTCCTGGGCCGGCTCCGTGCTCCTGCAGGGCCTGCACCTGTGTCCCAGCAGCCTCCTTGTGGGGAGCAACTCGGACTAGACTAAGTTACTGGAATTAAGACTTATTCTGTGCATCTGCTCTCCCACAATATGGCGCTGAGAGAGGAGGAAACAGCTTCTACACAGCTGCCTCCAGTTCAACCAATAAACTGTAGGACCTGCTCCTGATTGGAGGAGAGCAGCGTACTCGGCGTGTGGGTAGCAGAGTTGGGATTGGTGGAAGAGGACTATAAAGGAGGAGAGAGACAACATGCACCAGGAACATCTAAGGGGAACATCTATCTGAAGGAACACCTGTGCAGCCCCCAAGAGAGCCGGCCGGCGGTGTGCTGCTCCCCCGCGGAAGTGGGGAAAGTGGCCAGGGGGAACCGCCCTTCCACGGAGGTGGAAGGGTCGGTAGCCAACCCGGGAAGAACCAGCAGCAAACCCGGGGAGGGCCGAGCAGACAAAAGAACAGCGCAGGGTCCTGTGTCGTTCCTCCACGAAGAGGGGGAGCGACATAATGGTGCCGTGACTCGGATATGAAGCCTAGGCAGGGTTTAGTGTCGTTCCTCCATGAAGAGGGGGAGCGACACCTCCTGGCCCTCCTCCTCTGTCCCTCGAGAAGCAGCCAGGGCACACGCACCCCCCATCCCCACCCAGGGCTGGGCCTTCCCCCATTGCCCACGGGATGAAGCCTCCACTCTCAGCCACGCCCACAGGGCCTGTCCCTTGATATGTGTCAGGGGCCCGAGTGTGTCCTATCGTGCACGTGTCCCCCCATGTACATCTCTCACATGTCCGTGCTCTGTCACACAATGCATGTCCTGTCATGTGTGTCCCGGCACGCACATTCTGTCACGCGTGGGTCCTGTCACGCGTGTTTAGTGCATGTGTTTCCCATCGTGTGTGCGAGTGTCCTGTCCCCCTGGAAGGCCATGAGCTCCTGGGGGCGGGGCCAGGAGGTGACCCGGTCAGCACCGGCTGGATTTACTTGAACCTTCATCGGAACAGCGACGTCTCTGTTGTCCCCTCTGACCGCGCCATAGGCTTGCGAGACAGGCAGCCCCAGGCCCTCTCCCGGGGCGCAGAGCAGGGAGGGTCCCACAGCCAGGCGGAGGCGGACCCGGGGCCCAGCTCCTGGGGTTCCCACTGCGGCCTGGCAGTCCTGGACCTGGTGGGAGTGGGCAGCCCCCGGGGGGAGGGCAGGAGGGCCCAGGAGCCATGGGGTGAGGCTGTGCCCCCAGGAGGCCAGGTCTGCCTGTGTGGCTGCGGCTGATGGCTTTTCTGAGGAGCACAGCCGAGGGTTAACCGCATCCCTTAGCTCCAAGCCACCATGGCTTTCCCGTCGGTCCCTGCAGGCAGTGTCCACCCCCCCACACACCAGCCACCTGCACCTGCACCACAGTCTTGGCATCAGACTCCCAGGTCCCTTAAACCTGAGTCCTCCCTCCCCCCAGCACAGGGGACAGCCTCCTCCCTCAGTCTAGGTCTGTGGGGGCCCTGCCCGGGGGCCTCCGCTGTCCCTTTGGAGCTCACAGCCACACATTGCCTCTTGCATTATTGGTCCCAGAGAGCAGCCTGACCCAGTCTGACCCAGGTGGGCTGGGGGGCAGCAGGGGCGGGGGCACAGATCCTCCCTGCCATCCCAGTCACTGTCTCGCTGCTAAGACACCCTGGCCCTGCAGTGACGGGCGTCGGGGGACCACCCGGGACAGGCGTGTCAGTGTGACATTCTGCCACGTGACGTGCCCCTCCCCTCCCCACACCCCCGCCACTGCGCCCACAGCTCCTGCAGCCTGCGACACATCCATGCTGACCTTTTCCATCCAAAGCTGCCTGATTCCCGCAGGGGAGGGAGCGGGGGGTGGGAGGACCGGCCATGGAGGCTGACAACACGCAGACTCTGTGCCCCCTGGAGAGTCTGCCCCAGGACCTGCAGCCCCTCCCCATGCCGGGCCCACGCCTCCCACCTCCCCGTCCCCACCTTTCCCTGGAGCCCCCCTTGGCTTAGCCACAAAGTCCCCCAGAGCAGCTCAGACAACGACCCTGGGGACAAAGAGGGAGGGGACGCCAGGGCTCCTGGATGTGGCAGGATGTCCCGTGGTCACTGGGGTCGCGGGCAGCGAAAAGTCCTTGTGTCTGGGCCAGGGCCCGGTTTCCCTGGTGAAACAGAGATACAGCCTGGGACGCCCGTGTCCACGTCGGAAGGCCTAGGTTCCGGTCCCGGCTCTGCTCCCCATGCCTGGGGCCTGCTCCCGCACACCCTGGGAGCAGCAGTGACCGCTGGAGAGCTCGGGTCTCTGCCACTCACCTGGAGACCCAGACAGGCTCCTGGCTGCTGGCCTTGGCCTGGCCCAGCTCCAGCTGTTACTGCAGGCACTGGGGAGTGAACCTGCAGATGGGAGACCTCTCTCTCTCCACCCCTCCCTTCCCTCCCTGTCTCTCTCTCTCTCTCTCTCTCTCTCTCTCTCTCCACCAATCCCTTTCCTCCCTTTCTCTCTCTCTCTGTCTCTACCTTTTTTTTTTTTTTTTTTTTTTTTTTTTTTTTTTTTTTTGACAGGCAGAGTGGACAGAGAGAGAGACAGAGAGAAAGGTCTTCCTTTTGCCGTTGGTTCACCCTCCAATGGCCGCCGCGGCCGGCGCGCTGCGGCCGGCGCACCGCGCTGATCCGATGGCAGGAGCCAGGAGCCAGGTGCTTTTCCTGGTCTCCCATGGGGTGCAGGGCCCAAGCACCTGGGCCATCCTCCACTGCACTCCCTGGCCACAGCAGAGGGCTGGCCTGGAAGAGGGGCAACCGGGACAGAATCCGGCGCCCCGACCGGGACTAGAACCCGGTGTGCCGGCGCCGCTAGGCGGAGGATTAGCCTACTGAGCCGTGGCGCCGGCCTCTGTCTCTACCTTTCAAATAAATACATACTTAAAAAAAAAAGACAGGATACTAGAGTGACAATTATACACAAAGCAGGCACAGGAAAGAAACTAGAAAGTGAGGTGGCCATCTTTTTTTAAAAAGAGTTATTTGTTTGCTTGTTTGAAAATCAGAGTTACAGAGAGACAGGCAGACAGAGACAGAGAGAAAGGTTTCCATCTGCTGGTTCACTCCCCAAATGGCTGCAACAGCTGGAGCTGTGGCCGATCTGAAGCCAGGAGCCAGGAGCTTCCTCCAGGTCTCCGACATGGGTGCAGGGGCCCAAGGACTTGGGGCATCTTTCACTGCTTTCTCAGGGGCGTTAGCAGTGAGCTGGATGGGAAATGGAGCAGCCGGGACTCGAACCAACCCCCGAGGCGGTTATCTTTACTGTGGGAACAAGGGGCCAGTCCCTGCCCTCCTATGTGCCTTTCCCAGCGTTTATTCGCTGAACATGTATTGTCTTTACAATTGTGATGTGCACCTGTGGTGTGGGTAGACACACTGCCAAGTCTGCAGACGTGCATCGGTGTGGGAGAAGCCCCAGCCCCACCCCCCGCCCCCGCCTCTCCCTCCAGCTGTCCCAGCCTGGCAGCCCCCCAGAGCAGCCCCTGTGGAACCAGCCCTTCCTCTTCCAAGGCCGGGACGGAGCCACCAACTTCACGGAAGACGCCGCCCTGGTGCTGGAGTACTACTCCTCGGCTTCAGGTGCGTGTGCCCCGCACCAGGCCAGCACAGCCGCTCGCTAGCCGCCTCTGCCCAAGGGCCCCCAGGTGTCCGGGCAGCCTCGGGGGTGAGCGGCTTCCTGGCCCAAGTGAGGGCACTGTGGCCCAGGCAGAGCCGGTGGGCTGCTTCCTGCTGCGCACCTGCCACTGAGGAGGGAGGGGCAGAGGCTCAGGTGAAGCCAGGAAGACAGGCAGGTGATGTTGGGGGCGGGAGGCAAACACTGGGGTCTGCAAGCCCGCCTGGTCCCTCCCCTTAGGGAAGGGCAGTGAGCCCTGGAACCTGGGCCAGCCCCTGGGCGTCTCCGTGTTGCCGCTGAAGAGCCGTCTGTACCGCAAGATGCTGGCCGGGCAAGGTTTGAGCGGGCTGCGTGTGGAGCGGCTTCCCATCACGGTGAGCCCCGCCCCCGGCTGCTCGCCGCTGGCCCGGCTCCGCCCCCCACAAGTCCTCTGAGGTCTCCCACCCGGGACCAGCTAGGAGAGGGCCCCCCACTCCCGCCACCGCCCGCAGCCACCAAAACCCAGCGCAGCCTCTGAACAACCGGGAAGGAAGCCTCGGGCATTGCCCCCAAGCCCCAGGGACCCTGGAGGGAGAGGCCAGGGCCAGGCCTGAGCCGAAACCTGGGTTGCCCCTGTCCTCACTGTGTCCTCACCCCCTGTGAACCCTGCAGCTCTGTGCCCCGCCTCGGTTCCCTGCTTCCCTGGGGCGGCTGCCTGGGACCACCACTCAGTGGCTCACATGACCGAGGGGGCGTCGCCTCCAGTCTCCCTGCCTCAGTCTCCTAGCATGTGAAATGGGTGCAGAGTAGGGCTGCCATGAAGTGCAGTGAGACGTCCCCAGGAAGGGGCTGCCCCATTTCTGTCACCGTCACCCGTTACTACACCGACCTCACAGACTCGACCCATGGGGTTCCCCCTCCTGCTCAGAGAGGGTCCCCCAGTCTGCTGGAGTCCAGGAGGGAGGGGCTAGGTCCCTCCTTCTGGGCACAGCCCCTGCAGACCCTTTCCTGGGGAGCCCAGAACCGTGGCTGGCACTGCGCAGGCAGTGACACAGCTCCTGTCTCCTCCCCAGGACACGAGCCTGAAAACCATAGGCGGGGAGGCGCCCACGGTGGACATCTCCCTCCAGCTGTGCTCCTCCGAGGTAAGGTGCCGGCCTCGTGGCCCTCCGCGAGCCGCCTGGTGGGGCGGCTGCTGCGCACGTACCCCTGGTTAGCTGGCGTCCTGCAGGCAGACGGCCCTCCCCAGTGTGGCTGAGATGCAGACAGTGCAGGGCTGCCCCTTCCGGAGTTCCAGAGGGGTCCCCAGTTGGTCCCAAAGACCACCCACACTCCCTCTCACACAGCGCCTCCTCCCTGAAGCCAGCAGGGCTGCTCGGACCCCAGCCGAGGGAACCTCCTGGGTGCCGGGTGACAGCACAGAGTCACAGGAGGCTGGCACAGCACAGTCCCTGCTCCAAGGACTGGGTGGGGACGCTTGGAATTGTCTGGGATTCTGCCAGCCACGTTGGCTCTGTCCAAGGGGGAGCCATGTGGCACTGAACCCTCCAATGGCTGGGCCTGGGGTCAGAGTCCAGCACGGACCCCGCTCGTTGGACCTGCTGGTGCTGGGACCCGGGCACATTAGGACGGGGGCCCAGCCCGTGTTGCAGGTGCCAGCGTCTGCTCCAGCCCAGACCGACAATGCCCCATAACGGAGAAAAGAGCCGCCATCTCTGGGGTGGTCCGTGGCCCTGAGACCCTACCCGAGGGGTCACACGGTGGGTCAGGGAAGGGGTAGGGGCCAGCCTGGGACTCTCTCCTCACAGGGCCCCTGGTGAGGGTTTGCAGGGTCCCACCAGCGCCCCCTGCTGTGAGTACTCAGCATCGCCCCTCACTCCTGTTTGGGGAAGCATCTGTCATAGACCCCCGAAAGCACCCCCAAACCACCGGCGGAGGAAAGAGAAGACCCCCAAGCAAGGGGGAAGTACAGTCCTCGGGAAAATGTCACAGGGGCCCTCCGGGGCCTCGAGTCTCCCAGGCGCCCCCGCCGGCCCCTGCTCACCTCCCTCCACCTCGCATTCCCTCCACGGGGGCTTCTCCTGTCCTGTCAAGTGCCCCCCGGCTAGGAGACCGGTGGAGCCGGGCAGGCAACAGGCAGGCGGGCAGAGCACTTCCCCAGTCGCCCAGGGGCTGGGCACAAAGGTCTCCAGTGATGAATTATTCACCGGAGCTGTGCTAAGTGCAGAATTAATCCCTTTCCTTCCAGCTGGCGGGCTCACTAAATTATCCCTCCAAGTCATGCGGGAAATCACTGCCGAGTGTTTTGATCTGGGCCTCGCGGTTTTAGCCGCCGCCTCCCCCAGACCCCCCACCCCGGAGGCCGGTAATAAACCTTTTAGCAATGGATTTCTGAGAAGAAAGGAAAAGAGAGGGGGCAGAGACGGGTGTGCAGCAGGCAAACAGGGCCCGTGCAGAGTCGTTTTCTGCGATCCAGAATTCAGATGCTCCGGCCGACCCGGGCGCCCGCGTCCCGTGGGCTCCGAGCTGCTAGCCTGCAGCCCACGCCGACCGCACTGCACTGGCACACGGACACAGAGGCTGTCTCGCTTGGGAGCTGAATCGCTTCTTGGTGGTGGTGGGAATGGGAGCTGGCCAGTAGCCGAGTCGCTCTGATTCTGTAGTCGTGGAGACCCGTCTCGGGGGCCCAAGTGGAAGGAGCCCCTGTGGGTGGGCTCTCGGGGAGAGGCTCAGATTCGAGAGGTGGTCCCTGGTGTCTGGCAGGAAGTAGAATTTAGGCAGCTGCTGTGAACTCAAATGGCCGGAAGTGGAGCCGGCAGCCCTGGAGCCCGTGTGCCTTGGAGCTCAGCTCCGCCTGGCGTGGACACGACCCTCGGCTGGTGTCTGGGCACCCCTCCCTCAGGCGCAGGGGAGCACCTGCGGGGCCGCCGCCTTCTGCACGCCGCCTCACCTTCTTGGCCACGATGCGGCATTGCCCTCCAGCCACTGCGCGCGTTCGGAGTACCTGCTGCGGAGCCGCCCCTGTCTGGGGTTGGGGACAGCGTGTTGACGAAGACAGCTGCAGCTGCAGGAGGGTTTGGGGCGGCTGTCGGCCCCATCTGAATGCTCAGAGGGGCAGCGCTTGGGAGAGATGTGTACGCCCCTTTCCCACGAGCCCCGGTGTGCAGCAAGGCTCGGGTACGGAGCAGCCGCGTTGTGGGACATCTCCATCAACGCACCCTCCGCAGCCTTCCTGTCTCCTTGTCTCCCTCTCCGAGCTCTCAGAACTAGAGCCTGGGAAGGGAGTCGCCTCTCCACATCTACCGCGGGGGGTCGTGCCGGCCCTACTGCACTGCCGTGACGGGGAGCTCACTCCCTGCGGGAGCTGCCCGTCCCACGGATCAGCGGCTGAAACCCCGGCAAGCCCCCGGCACGGATGGCACCGAGCTGTCTGCAGATGCTGCCAGGCAGCGGTTCACGGTGGATTGTGGGAGACGGGTGCTGTTTGCCTGGTAGTGGGTCTTCACCATGGGTACCTTTGGCTCAAGGCAACCGTCCTTGGGCTGGAGGGGGGTGTGTAGGTGAGTGTGTGTACACAGGCACAGGCCCGTGAGAACCAGACACCTGCTCCTGTACAGGTGCCTGCTGTTAGTGCAGCCACTGGGGTGGGCCTTGGAGACCCCCAGGCTCTGAGGACCCAGGAGCCTGTGCCACCCCCTCACACACACACACACAGGCACGGATGAACGCTGGTTCCCCACCATCCCCCGCCTGCTCTGCTCTGGACTGTCCTCTTTGAAAAGCACAACGTGGACCCCCGGGAGTCCCCACTTCTCCGAGCAAAGCAGCCTGGCTCTCTTTAATGAACTGGCATCCAGAGTGTGCCACAGCCTCTTTGAAGTGCGGCCTCGCGGGCTGACCGGCGGCGGCTAGCGCGGCACACGCAGTAGGTCCACACCACGCACTTCTGCATGTCTGCCCACAGGCTCGCACGCTCACGTGGGGCTGGCATCTGGGATTCAGTGTCTTGCCCAGACGCGGCTTCTCAGAGGGCGGCCCTCCCTGTGTGGCCGCGGCCGGCACCCACCGAGGGAAGCGGTGGGGGCAGGGCGAGCCTTTGAAGCCAGGAAGGGGCCGCCCGGGCGCTTTCTCCTCCGTGTCCTTACAGAGCTGTCTCTGGAGAGCTGCCCAGGGCAGGGCCGTGGCTGTCCAGCTAATGGGGGCAGGGGACGGGCAGAATCATGCTGGCCGCTGGTGAATTCTGATGAAGCTTTTGAAAAGCCACACGTGCTGGCCAGCTTCCCTTAGAGAGCCTGCACCGTGCACGTGCCCTAGGCGGCCGCGCGGTGTCCCGGACAGCACCACCAGACCCTCAGCCGGCTCTGTCCTCGGCTGACTCTGTCCTCGCTCTGACCATTGTGAGGATGGCGATGGATGCAGCAAGGGAGGCCCATCTCACAGCACACCCCCCGTCTCCCTTCTACCCAATGCCCCCCAACCCCCAACCCTGTCTTCTAAGCCCAGACCCGCAGCAGACAGCAGAGCAGACAGCCCTGTCCCCTCCCCACCCAGTCTGGGGACCTCTTCCTATCCACTTGGGTGAGAATTAGGGCGGGGCTTCCCCAGGGCCAGCCTGGCACTTGGGACAGGTGCTCAGTGTATGTGCGTGTGTGTTGGGGAGACAGGGCTCACCCCCACCAGCTTAAAGGGCTGCCACCCCACTTTTCACAAAGCCTGCACCCCTCCCAGGCGTGTGCCAGCCTTGGAGACAGCGGTGGCTCCCACAGTCTCTGGGTTGCTTCCTGCCTGGGAGAGAGGGGTCTGGCCTCCACAGCCAGTGACACGGAGGACGCTGCCTCCAGGAAGCCCTCTCCAGCCACTTCCTTGCCTCTGGTTCAGCTTCCTGCCTGCCCTTCCTGAGCCCAGCTCCCACGGCAGCCCTGAACCCGCTCTCCTGCCTCTGAGCGCGCCGGGTCTGTCCCTGAGTGTCCTCTTCCCCCGTGGGCACAGTCAGCACTGGCCAGTGGGACAGCACCCCCACCCCCACCCCCACCCCCCGCAGTGCAGTCTCCTTGTTTGGCTGGTTTGGTTCCAGCTCGTCCCAGGCAGCGAGGGCCCCGTCTCTGGTCCTCGCCCGATCGCTCTGCCTGACTTGGGCAAGGCTTCTCTTCCCTGAGCTATTTCGCTTGCTTTGTCTCTGCTCATCCGCTAGGCTGATGATCACTCTGGATGCTGATTTTGTCCAACACACTCACAGTCCCACCCCTGCCCACCCCCCAAGCTGCAGGTGGCCCAAGAAGCGGTCAGAATACGTGGGGCTGCGCTGTGCACAGTGTGCAGCCTCAGCCATGGGTTCGAAGCCCGGCTCTTCCCTGTGGCTCCAGCCTCCCTGGCCTCCCTGGCCTCTTCTGTAGCCAGTATAGCCCCTGCCCGGCAGCTGGCACCCAGCCGGTGACACCAGCACAGTGTCCTGCAGTCACACGCTGCTGCAGGGGACTCCGCCGTCATCCACTCACATTGCCGGCAAACACAGGGACCTCATCAGGGTGGCAGCATGGCTCCTGGTGGGGGGTGGGCGGAGCACCAGAGCCCTGCTCATCCGTCACTCAGCACCCACCCCTCCTGACAGCTGCTCCGTCAGCCTCGCGTCCCTCTGAGACATCAGGAGGCCGCCAGCAGCCCTCGTGGTCTCCCAGCAAACTGTCAGAGCAAGAAGGAACGGGTGGGGGAGGGGTGAGAGCAGACATGGCTTTGCTGATGGCCCCAGGGGAGCTGCCCCGTGCTGACAAGCCAGGAGGCCTGGTGCAGGCCCGTCCTGAAGGCCTCCCCCACTACGGGCCACTGTGCTGCTGAGACTCCCAGCCAGAAATGGACACAGGGACGGCGCAGTACGCCGGATACGAGGACCCTCCTTTCCCCTGTGAGCCCAGGGCGTCATGGGTAGAGTGAAGAAGCAGCAGGGGAGGCAGAGAGAGAGAAGGCAGAAGCTTCATGACCAAACCTCTTAAAACACGCAGGCTATGCTTGGAACTCCTCCTCCAAAGCCAGACCACCCAGCCCACAGCTGCCTTCGGCCACACTGAGTGTATGCCTGGCCCAGCCGAGGACGTGCGGCTCCCCACGTGTGCCCAGCACGGCATCACACCGCCGTCTCGCTAAGGCTCCCGGCTAAGGCTGTGCACTGAGCACACACAGGTCAGAGGTCAGTCTCTAACAGCAGCTTGGAAATGAACCAGACCTGCGTGTACAGGGTCACGGAGAATGGGACACGTGGGGGCTGCCGTGGGCAGTGAGGCTCAGCCAGTGAGCAGAGCCTGGGTGGTCGAGGGCCTGGGCTCCAGGGTGCAGGGCTCAGTCTCTGTCAGGGGGCGATGACCAAGGTCTCTCTCGATGTGAATGGCGGATCCCAGAGGGGAAATCAGATGCAGAAAATAGGGCTGAGGGCCGGGCATTTGGCAAGGTGGTCAACACGCCGCTCGGATGCCCACTGCGTGTGTTCGGGTCCAGCTCCAGCTTCCTGCTAATGCAGTAGTGATCGCGCAAGGGGCTGGGTCCCTGCCATCCTCATGGGAGACCCGGATGGAGTTCCAGGCTCCTGGCTTTGGCCTGGCCCAGCTGTGGCTGCTGGGGGCATTTGGGGAGTGAAACCAACAGATGAGAGTGTGAGGTCACGCTTGCTCTCTGTCTGTCTTTCAAATAAATGGGAGAGAGAGAGAGAGAAGCAGCAGGTTCCTCACCAACAAGAGTGAGTCCACAGGCCTTTTCTGGCTGGGAGACAGACTGGGAGCTTCAAACCCCACTGCAGCTGCCACGAAATAAGGACCGCGATGTGTAGGGGAGGCAGCAAGCCCTCGCCCCTCTCTCGCAGGGGCCCTGGGCTGCTGTGTTGTCTGAGCCCTGCCCTACAGCTGAAGAGATAAGAATGTACTAGGCGGCCGCAGGAAATGACAAAGCAGTGACTGATCGGGGAGCCGCTGCACGGGGCTCATTACGCGCTAGCCAGCGGCCGAGACACCCTTATCAGGGAGAGAATTGCATCAGGCCTCCTGAATTACTAGCGATTGGAAGCAGATTTCTCGGGACGCACTTTGTTAGATTCCTAATGAGCGGAATACAGGCAGGCAGAGCCCCGAGCCGGTGGGGCAGGGGGGGGACAAATGTCTTTGTTAAACAGAGTTTGTCAGTTTCCGCTCCCGGCTCCCCGGGGAGGGTTCAGGGCCAAGCTAATTGAATTAAGAGCTTGGGCACTACTTGGAGAAGGTGCGGGGTGGGTTGAGAGGCGGGCCGGCCGGAAGGCGGGCGCTTACAGCACGGGGGACGGCAGCTGCAGCCCGGCCGCTCTGTAATGGCCCAGGCCGGCTGGAAGGCTTGCATTTTGCATGACTGGGGAGCTGGGGATGGAGGAGGGCAGGAGGGAGGCAGAGGGCGCTGGCGGGAGGAGCTAGGGAGCCTCAAGGCCAGGATGCCCTTGACCTGCTGGGGCCTCCACAGACTGGGCTCTGCAGGCTGCGGCGAGGGCTGGGAGGCGTGAGGGAGGGAGGGGTGGTGCTTGCCTGTGGCGTGGGCAGCAACTGCGTGGCCACGCATCCCTGTGAGCTTTCAAAGTCTGCCCGCAATTACAGCCCTTAATGAGGCAGGACGCGCCGCAGCCACGGAGCCTGGGATCGAAGGGCCACTTGTCAGCCCCAACACGCCCCAGCAGGCAGGGCCACACCTGCCAAGGAGAAAAGCAAATAAGCCCTTAGCCTGCCTGGAAGAAAGCGGGGGCAAGGCTGGGCTGGAGGAGGGGGAGCCCTTCTCCACGCTGCGTCCGCTCCCTCCGCAGGGTCTCAGGCGCGCTTTCTTCCAGGAGAAGTGGACGTGGGCGGACTGGAGCCGAGGCGAGCCGCCATCCTAGTGCCCCTTCCCTCACCTAACAAAAGCCACTGCCTCCAGCCTCCCGCGCAGGGCCTGTCATCCTTGGAGGTCTAATGGTTTTTTCATAAAAGCCACCAAACCCCAGGCCTGGCGGATCCCGGCCGAGCAGCACCTGAGCCTGGCAGGAACCGCAGGAAGGGCTGAGACCCAAAGCCACCCCCGCTCGGCCCCCTCTCTCCCCTCCTCCTCGGCCCCCTCTCTCCCCTCCTCCTCAGAACAGCCCCCGGCCCACCAGACTGGCAGCTGAAGGCACCGTCTGGCCCGAGGCGTCGGTCTCGTTTTTATGTTAGCTGTGTGATGAGATTGACTTAATTTTGCGTAGCGAATACCAGCGTCTGTACGAAAGTACCTGTGAGTGCCCCGCTCTGGCCAGGTGCACATCAGTCCTGGGCCGCTGAGTTGCCCCAGCTGGTGCGTCTGGGAGGCAGGCTGTGGGGGAGGGGCTCCCTGGGCACTTGTTCCTGCTCTCAGTGCCACTGGGGGCAACCCTGGAGACCTCTCTCCTGATTTCATTACTCCCACTTCCTCCCCTAACTGGATTAGGGGGCAGTCTATGAAATCCAGAGCATCCAGACTGGCTTTCTGCCTGGAAATGAGGAGAAATGTCATTACAGGGCCTGAATCAGCGTCTCACCCAGCGCGGGGCCACCTGGCCCGTGGGGAGGTGGTCTTTGCCCTGAGTAATCACTCTTTCCTTCCCTCTCTTCTGCATCCAGCCATCCATCTGGCCGTTCACTCCTCCACCGTCTACCCATACACCCACATACACCCACCTGTCCATTCATCCACCCACCCACCTATCCATCCACCACCTATCCACTTAGCTACCCACCTACCTACTCATCCACCCACCCACCACCTATCCACTTATCCACCCACCTATGCACGCATCCATCCACCCACCTATCCACCCATCCACCCACATCCACCCATCTGTCCATTCACCCACCCATCCACCCACCTATGCACCCATCCACCCACCTATCCATCACCGCCCACCCATCCACCCATCATCTAACACGCATTCTGCAGTCATTTTGGTGTCCACCTTTTCTGAGCAGGAAGTGAATGTGGTACCTTTCTCTACCTAAAACACTCAGACAACCAGAGCCATACCACTCAGAAGCCGCACTGAGTGTATCTTGGGCAGAAGGCTTCATGCCGTGGGCAGCACCCCGTGCACACACCCTCCCTGGACCGCAGCTGCGAGAGGGGCAGGAGGAAGAGACAGCAGACCCAGAAGCCTGGTTATGAAGGGCGAGTGACCTGCCAAAGTCAGCCTCAAGGTCACCCACTCCAAGTCTTTTTATAGCTGCTTTCTCATTGGAATTAAATACGTTTGCACCCGTTTGGTGATGGGGAAGTGGGGCCAGGCCTGCCCTCATGTGGCGACACGAGGAGTTAAGGAACTTCTGTGCACCAAATCTTATTTGCGAAGGGCATAAAGGAATCATCAAAGGGTCCCAGAGATGAAGGATCCTTGTCCCAATTCCTCTGGCTCATACGTGAGTGAGCACACACCCAAGAGGCCTGGGCACTTGCCCTTGTGTCCACTGTGGCCATTCAGGGTCAGAGATGCAGGGACCTCTAGCTCCAAGTGCATCCGTCCTGGCTGGCACACTCTCTCTCTCTCTCTCTCTCTCTCTCTCTCTCTCTCTCTCTCCCCCCCTCCTAGCACAGCAATTGGTCTGCCCTGTGCCAAGAGGGGATGCCAACCACTGGTATGGGTTGAGCCTGGAGGGCCTTTGAGGCCCCCACAAGCCATGAGTCTTTGAGCAGTGAGCACTTTGTGGGACTGCAAACGAGCTTTGCCATAACCGCTCCCCAAGACGGTGCAGGTGCAGCCGGAAGCCCACGGAGCATGAGGTTCTGCTAGAAGGGCAGAGTAGCCGGTGTGCGCTGGAGAGCAGTGGGGCTGGGGAGCCCAGACACGCCTGGGGGGGCGGGGGCAGGGCTGGGGAGCCCAGACACACCTCAGCTGGGGTGGGAGCAGGGCTGGGGGACCCGGACACACCTCAGCTGGGGTAGGGGCAGGACCGGGGAGCCCAGACATGCCTGGGGGGGTGGGGTCAGGGCTGGGGAGCCTGGACACACCTCAGCTGGGGTGGAAGCGGGGCTGGGGAGCCCGGACACGCCTGGGGTGGGGCGGGACTGGTCCCTGCGTGGGGTCAGGTGAGAGTGACTGATAGTTGCGCCAGGGGAGGAGGGGGGCAGGGAGGAGGAGGCCATGTGAGCCAGACACCAGGTGGAAGCAGGCCCCGAGGGTCTGACCCGGGGCTCACAGCCTTGGGGGTGCTGTGGAGTAGGCGGGCGGTCCACAGACCGTCTTCCTGGAGTTAGTTTTCTGGCATGGTGTGAGGAAAACAGCACAGTGGGCTCGAGGGAATGGCCATGGGGAGTGGGAGTGGGGGGCTTTAGGTAGAGCAGGCACAGCTCCCTGCGGGGGTCACACCTGGGCTGTGGAGACCCCCGAGGCCCTCCAGGAGGAGGAAACCGCAGATGCAAAGGCCCTGAGGCAGGAACGAGCTGGGCATGTAGGAGGAACAGTAAGCACGGCATGTCTGGGGCCCAGTGAGCGCGGGGCGGGCGGGAGATGGGCGTCCCAGGGAACCGCCCGCACCACGTTTCTCTGCGCCTTCTCTTCTCAGAGGCCAGAAAACTTCCTGACACCAAACAGCAGCAAGGCTCTGCCCACCCTGGACCCCAAGATCCTAGATGAGAAGCTGGGGACCATCCGTGAGTCCTGGTCCAAGGCCACGGCCAGCCCAACGGCGGACTCCAGCTCGTCCATCTCTCAGGGGGCAGAAGAGGAGCCTCTGGAACCAGAGTCGTACAGCGATGCAGTGAGTAATCTCCCCGGCCGGGGTGGGGAAGGGACGGGGAGACAGAGAGAGAGAGCGAGAGCGAGAGAGAGAGAGCCCACCTTGGTTCACTCCCCAGATGGCCACAATGGCCAGGGTTAGGGCAGGCTTAAGCCAGGAGTCAGGAGCTCCATCTGGGTCTCCCACACGGGTGCAGGGGCCCAAGCACTTGGGCCGTCCTCTGCTGCTTTCCCAGGCCACAGCAGAGAGCAGGATGGGAAGCAGAGTGGCCAGGACTCCAACTGACGCTCACATGGGATGCCAGGGGCGTCTCAGGCGTCCACGCCACAGTGCCGGCCGAGCCGACCTCCTCTGTAGGTCCTCGGTGCACGCAAGCTGGGGCAGGTAGGGGTCTGCAGCCAACTGCATCACCTGTGGGAGTTCCGGGAGCAGATTCCACTCTGCCCTGGTTGCAGAGAGCTCCCCCTCCCCCAGCCCGTCCAAGGGATGAGTCTTAACTCGTGGAGGAGAAACAGGGCTTGGGAAACAAGGCACAGTGTTCAGAGCCGTGTTCAGACAGAGCCGGTGCCCTTGGCCATGGGACTGGGAGCTGAGACCCTGGTGCAGAGGGCTAGGGAGCTGGCCCCGGAAAGACAGCTCCTTAGCGTCCCCGTCCGAGGCGCCTGGCCCACGAGGCTTCCCTGTGGCTTCCTGCCCGCCCCCCTTCCACAGCGGATCCCGTGGGGAGCACTGCTCCAGAGGATCCTGAGAAGAGGCCCCCAGCGAGGCCCCCGGACCCGAGGGAAGACCCGGGCCCCGCCCCCGTCCACCGACAGCCTCCTCATCTTCCCCTGGCACTTCTGCACCTTTCTGGACCAAGTGCCACCCGACGAATAGGAAGGGAGGCACCTGCTGGGGGGGGCGCCCGCCACCCCACCCCCCGCCGTCTGTATCGTGGCTGCCCTGGCGTCGTCCGTGGCTCCCTGGCTCAAACCTCTCCACCCTCCAGCCAGGGGCAGGGCAGGGGAGGGAGAATCGCACGGGGGCCGCCCTCCTGCCCGACCGTAAATCTCACTGGAAATGAGGACAGAGTGCTTGCCTTCGGCGCTTTGAAGAAAAAACCTCAAAGCCCGGCGATGCGGTGCCCCCTTCTCGCACCTCTGAGCAAAGGCAGTGAAGAGTCGAGGGTCCGCAGGCCAGGGGAAAAGGAGACAGGGAAGGTACATGGGGAGGGGGCAGGATGCAAGGGGCAAGGTGAGGGCGCTGCCCCCCGCCCCCGCACACACCTGCACAGCCTCCGTCCCACCTGGCTCTGCCCCTGCTCACCCAGCGGGGAGACCTCATGCCCAGTTGGGCTGCACAGGCGTCCCACGGCAGCCTCCTGGGCAGGGGACACAGCCCGGTCCCACTCTGGTCCTGTGCGCGTGCCAGGGGCTCCCCAGCATGGGATCTGCTGGGCCACCAACCCCAGGGCTAAGCTGGGGCCTACCCAGGGGTCCCCTGGTTCCCACGCCACTCCTTCCTGCTGGACACTGGGTGAGGCCACAGGACTGGCTGCTAGCCCCTGCTTGCCTGGCTGTTGCCAGACAGCTTCCCAGGCCTGGCACCCTCGAGGGGGAGGGGGCTGTGGGCTGCCCTCTGTGTTCCTGACTCCCAGCGTAATCGCTGCGCCCCTGCCTCAGATCTGCCCCAGCGGGGCTCACCTGGGCCCAGTCCCGGGCCATGGGTAGCAACTGCCCCCAGCCCCTTGACAGCTGCGGGTACCCGTGTAGCACTGCGTCACCGTTCCATGGCAACCAGGCCGAGTTACACAGCAATGGAGCGACGTGTGCGACCGACCCAGGGGCTCCGGGCCGAGCAGCAGGACAGGCCACAGGGCAGGTGCAGGTGCAGAACGGTCACACAGCCGTGCTTAGCACCGGGAGCACACAGCCAGACGGGACCAGAGAGCCGTGTGGGGCGTTTGACGAGCCCTGGGCTCCACGGCAGGCTCAGAGGCGTGATCAGGTTTGTGCCAGGCCCCGCGGGCGGGGACGTGAGCCTCTGGCAGCCTTGATTTCTGCCTGGTCTGTGGCGGAGTCCCCAGAGCCCGAGACGCTGTTTTGTCTCTGATTTGACTCCAGAGCCTACTTGGGCTTGATAGGAAATTGAGCATTTTCTGGAGAAAAGAGCGGGGGCGGGGGGGAAGAAGGGGGAGGAGCAGGGGGAGGGGGAGGGGAGACAGCACCCCGGTGCCTCCTGTCCCACTGTTTCCTCCTCCTCCATCACCACCAGGCACCCAGACCCTCACACGCCTCTCAGGGCAGCTGTTGTTCGCAATTTTGTAAAGATTCGTTTATTTATTTGCAAGGCAGAGTGAGAGAGAGAGGGAGGAAGAGACGGAGAAAGGTCTTCCATCTGTTGGTTCATTCACCAGATGCCCACAATGGCCAGGGCTGGGCCAGGCTGAAGCCAGGAGCGTCTTCCAGGTCTCCCACGCGGGTGCCGGGGCCCAGGCACTCGGGCCGTCCCCTGCTGCTTTCCCAGGTGCAGTAGCAGGGAGCCGGATCGGAAGCGGACACAGGCCTGTCTGCTGTCACTTGCTCCCTGTGGTGCAGAGCTCGGTTCCTGGGAGGGCCTGCTGTGGTCTTGGGTCAAGGGCAGGGGCCCAGACAGAACCGGAGGAAGCTTTGCCTCCCCCTGAGTAGCCCAGAAGTGCTCTTGATGGACACCCGGGGGCCAGGGTGCCATGCAGCGGCCATCCCAAACATGCCACCTGCCGCACACTGCCCCCTCCCTGAGCCAGACCTGTCCCTACCTTCAGGGTGACCGCAGTGAACTGAGCGGCTCCAGGCCCTCCAACCACGGCTCCCGAAACACTTCCGGGGTGCCTGGGCTCCCCCTACCACTGGGAACTGTCCTCCCGTCCACCGCCTGGTGTCCAGTTGTGCGGGGCGGGGGGTGCAGAGAGAAGGAAGCAGCCAAGGCTCCAAACTCTGGACGTTCCCAGCAGGCAGGAGCGAGCCTGTGGCAGGGGTGGGGGCAGGCAGGATTCAGAGCAGGACACACCAATGAGCCCCCAGTGTGGGGGAGGGAAGGAAGGCTTCCTGGAGGAGGTGGCCTCTGATGCTTTGGATAAGCAGGCAGAGGAGCCCAGGGCGCTCCCCTCCCCCACTCTGTCCCCTCCTGCCTGTCTCTCTCTCCACATGGCACATGGCCCCACGCCTCTTTCCGTCTCTCCCTTCTGTCTTGTTCTGATTGGCCGCATTTCGTCTGTCTGCCTCTGCTCCCCGCTCTCCCCTCTTCACCGAGCTCAGAGATTTGTGGCAGACCAGAGGCCCCACCCCAGGAGGTGAATAATTGACAAGGGCTCTTTAAAGATTCAGTGCTGTTTGCCCAGCCCCACCGCACTGAATAACTCATTTCTTTCGCTCTTTCTTTGCAAGCCGCTCCCTCCCTCCCACCTGCTCCTCGCCCCCCCCACTCCTGCCCTGCCTTGCTCCCAGCCCTGGGCCTGCCGGACCCCAGGCTGCTTCCTGGGACCCCCACTTCCTTGCCGTCCACTCCAGGGGCCGAGACACACACACACCCCACCCCCAATCCCGCAGGTGCAGAGGGAAGGAAGCCAGGGCCTCCCCCAGGTCACACAGCTGCAGGGGTGCGGGCTCAGGTCCACGAGCCAAGGGGCCCCTTCCCTCCCAGGCTGGCCTCGCAGGTGCTGCCCCAAGCCCTGCACACCCCGCCCCCAGGGGCCGGGAGCCCTTTGTGTCCCTGCACCTGCAGTGGAGCTGCTCTCCCTGCTGGCCCCATCCCTGTGCTCATCCGGGCACTCGGGAGGGAGGGGAGGCCGGCGGGGCTGCGACGCCCCTTAAGCCAGGTCCCTCCCATCCTCCTGGCACTGCCCTCGGTGGCTGCCCGGTGGCTGCCCGCGGCTGCCGGCCCAGAAGCCCCGGGTCCCGAGATAGGCAACAGCCCGTGTTGGTGCTGAGATGTCCCAGGAAACCCTGAGCGGGCTCCCCTCCCCTGCCCCAGCCCCGCAGCCCTGTCCCACACCCTCCAGCCACACCCTCAGCCCTGTCCTCAGCCCCGGCCACACACTGCGAGCCCCGCCCAGTTCCCTCCGTGCTGCCCCCCACGCCCTCCCCGCTATTCCTTAGCCGATCTTGGACTCCAGCTCCCTGGACCCCAGAGGGGGAGGGCAGCTGTTTCCAAGTCCCCTGGGACTCCTGGTGCTGCCCCGCCCCAGGCCCACCCCCAGGACAAGGTCGGGGCCCCACGAGGCAGAGGCTCCGCCTGGCCTGAGCTCCCTCAGCGCCACCTGGTGGCAGGGACGAGGCCTGCGCAGAAGCCCCCGCAGCTGCTGGAAGCTGTCACAGACGGGGCCCGAGCACCCACAGTCCGCAGCGGCGGCCAGCAGTGGCAGGAGGTGGACCCCTCACCCAAGGAGCCCGGAGCCTGGGGCTGGCCCCCGAGGCAAAGCGGGACCCTGAGCCCACGATCCCTGGGGAGCCCCGTGCTGGGAGCCAGCAGAGGCAGAGAAAATGCAGGAGGAAGTGAGGCACAATGGACGCCCCTGACTCCGCGCCCCTCAGCCCGCCAGGCAGGTCCCAGACACCCTGTCACCCAGCACCTCCCCTGACCCCACCACCCCAGCCCCTTCCCCAAGTCCGGGTGAGGACTTCCAGCCCCGCAGCAGGAGCACCCCAGGGCTCCAGCCCCTCCCAGCTCTGCCCCTGCAATCCTGCTGCCCCTAGGCTGGGAGCCCCGCATGCTGGCACGGGGCGGGGCCGCACTTGATCTTAGCCACAAGGCGGAGAAGCGATTGGCGGGGCTGAACAGGAACACCTGTGAGGGTGCAGTGGTCCCAAGTGCACACACACACTCACACTCACAGCCATACACACACTGGCACAGACACACAGTCATACACACACTCACACACATAGACATACACTCACACACACAGTCACACACTGACACCCACACACATCCATATCCTCACACTCACACACCCGCATGCTCACACACACACACATGCACACACACTCTTACACTCACACAGG